AGATAAAGTCAAAAAGTTTAACGGGCAAAACATTCCTTTTCAGGGCAACTATTGGGACTGTAGGTTTAAGATTATTTCGCTTTTCTGTTCCGGAAAAAAAATTCGTGAAAATGTTTTTGTTCGGAAAAACTTCTAATATACAACTTTCTTGTGGAACGTATCCTGACCTATAAAATTCTTACAAAAAACTTCTCTCATTTTTTCATTTAGTTTTGCAGCCATTTACCTACCAGTTGCTACAATTTCTGTGGTTATAAATGATATTCGGGTCGGTTGAACAGTGATTATAACTACTCATGTTGTATATCCTGGACTGTGAGAAATTTTGTGTTCAGATATAATTGATAGATACAATCAAAAATTTTAAAATGCAAAGCTTAACTCTTCAGGGAAACTTCTGGAACTGTAGAGCCAAGAATGTTTTGCATATCCGTTTTAGAAACCTTGAAATTTTTTTTTGGAAATATTCCTATTTTACAACTTCCTGCCTTAGGAAATTCTTACAAAAAGTTCTGCATGAAACTGTTCAGTTGATTCTGAAGCCAGTTAGCTACACAAACTTGGTGCTTTTAACTGATTTTTGGGCCAGTTGAGCAAGGATTGAAACTAGTCATACTGCGTATTCTGAACTGTGAAGTATATTGTGTTCAGACAAAATTGATAGACACAGTGAAAAACAATAACGTGCAAATGTACATCTTTAGGGAAACTACTGGAACTTTTGGAATCAAGAATGTTTTGAGTATCTGTTTTAGTAAAATTTAAATTGAAATACTGTTTTAGTAAAATTGAAATACTGATTTTTGGGTGAGTTGAGCATTGATTCTAATCAGTCATGTTGTCTATCCTGAACTGTGAAGTATATTGGGTAGGGATATAAAAAAAAGAAAAATATTTTTTTTTGGAAAAAATTCTTACTTTACAATTTTCTTGGAGGGAAGTTTCCTGCCTTGTGAAGTTCGAACAAAAAATTGTTCTTCCAAAATTTTCAGTTTGTTCTGCAGCCACTTAGCTGCTATTTGCTACAAAATTGGTGGTTATAAGTGGCTTTCTGATCAGTTGAACTATGATTAAAATTAGACATGTGTTAATCCTGGACTGTGTAGTATATTGTGTTGAGATTTAAATCTGAAAAACATTCAAAAAAAAATTTTAACGCGCAAACTGATATTCTTTGGACCAATTACTGGCACTGTAGAGCCAAGAATCTTTTCATATCTTTTTTAGAAAACTTTGAGATACTCGATAAAAAACATTGCATAAAAATGTTTTTTTTGGAAGTACTCTTAGCTTACAATTTTATTCTAGGAAATTTTTCTGCCTAATGAAGCTCTTACAAAAAAAAGCTCTCTCAGTTTGTTCAGTTGATTTTGAAGCCAGTTACTTACAATTTGCTTTAAAAAATTCGGTGGTTATAACTGAGTTTTGTATCAGATGAACAATTATTAAGACTTGTCATCCTGACTGTGTAGTATATTGTGTTGAGATATAAATGATAGCAACAGTAAAAATGCATAACGTGCAAATTTGTTTTATTTGGAGCAACTACTGGCAGCTTAGTACCAAAAATCTTTTGCATATCTCTTTTTGATAAATTTGAATTACTCAAAAAAACTCAATAATTTTTTGGATGTATTTTTGTTTTACAACTTTCTTTCGGGAAATTTTCTTGCTCTATGAATTTCTCTCAAAACAATTCTCTCTAATATAGTTCAGTTGAGTTTGTAGCCACTTAGTTATGATTTGCCACAAATATGGTGGTTATAACCAATTTTCGGGTCAGCTGAACAATAATTACAATTAGTCATGTTGTATATCCTGGACTGTGTATTATATTGTGTTCAGATAGAATTGATAGACACAGTAAAAAAAATAAAGAGCAAAATGTGTTTCCCTTGGCCAATTAATGCCTCTGTAGAGTCAGAGTCATGAGTTTTTGCAAACTGATTATAGAAAACTTGAAATACTAAAAAAAACGTTTCAAGAAAGTGTTTTTTTTTGAAAACTATTCTTAATCAACAATTTTCATTTTAGATTTTTCCCTGCCTTTTGAAGTACTGACAAGAAGTTTCTCTCTCAAACTGTTCAGTTAAATCTGAAGTCACTTAGCTACAATTTGATACATAGTTGCTGGTTATAACTGATTTGTGGGTCAGCTGAACAATGATTATAAATAGTAATGTTGTATATCCTGGACACTGTAGTATATTAAGTTGAGATAAAACTGACAGATACAGTCAAAAAGCTTAATGTGCAATTTGTACATCTTTAGGGAAACTTCTGGAACTCTAGAGCCAAGAATGTTTTGCATATCCGTTTTAGAAACAGTGAAAGTGTTTTTTTTTGGAAATTTTCCTATTTTACAACTTCCTGCCTTAGGAAGTTCTTACAAAAAGTTCTGCATGAAACTGTTCAGTTGATTCTGAAGCCAGTTAGCTACACAAATTTGGTGCTTTTAACTGCTTTTGGGCCAGTTGAGCAAGGAATGAAACTAGTCATACTGCGTATTCTGAACTGTGAAGTATATTGTGTTCAGACAAAATTGATAGACACAGTGAAAAACAATAACGTGCAAATGTACATCTTTAGGGAAACTACTGGAACTTTTGGAATCAAGAATGTTTTGAGTATCTGTTTTAGTAAAATTTAAATTGAAATACTGTTTTAGTAAAATTGAAATACTGATTTTTGGGTCAGTTGAGCATTGATTCTACTCAGTCATGTTGTCTATCCTGGACTGTGAAGTATATTGTGTAGGGATGAAAAAATAAGAAAAATATTTTTTTTTGGAAAAATTCTTTCTTTACAATATTCTTGGAGGGAATTTTCCTGCCTTATGAAGTTCGAACAAAAAATTGTTCTTCCAAAATTTTCAGTTTGTTCTGCAGCCACTTAGCTGCTATTTGCTTCAAAATTGGTGGTTATAAGTGACTTTCCGATCAGTTGAACTATGATTAAAATTAGTCATGTGTTAATCCTGGACTGTGTAGTATATTGTGTTGAGATTTAAATCTTAAAAACAACCAAAAAAGTTTAACGCGCAAACTGATTTTCTTTGGACCAATTACTGGCACTGTAGAGTCAAGACTCTTTTCAAATTTTTTTTTTAGAAAACTTTGAAATATCCGAAAAAAATATAGCATGAAAATGTTTTTTTTGGAAGTATTTTTTAGCTTGAAACTTTATTCTAGGAAATTTTTCTGCCTAATGAAAGTCTTACAAAAAAAAGCTCTCTCAGTTTGTTCAGTTGATTTTGAAGCCAGTTATTTACAATTTGCTTAAAAATTTGGTGGTTATAACTGAGTTTTGTATCAGATAAACAATTAATAAGACTTGTCATGCTATATATCCTGACTGTGTAGTATATTGTGTTGAGATATAAATGATAGCAACAGTAAAAAATATATCACGTGCAAATTTGTTTTCTTTGGATCAACTACTGGCAGCTTAGTACCAAGAATCTTTTGCATATCTCTTTTTGTTAAATTTGAACTACTCACAAACAACTAAATATTTTTTTGGATGTATTTTCATTTTACAACTTTCTTTCGGGAAATTTTCTTGCTTTATGAATTTCTCTCAAAAAAATTCTCTCTCATATAGTTCGGTTGAGTTTAAAGCCACTTAGTTGTGATTTGCCACAAAATTGGTGGTTATAACCAATTTTTGGGTCAGTTGAACAATAATTAAAATTGGTCATGTTGTATATCCTGGACTGTGTATTATATTGTGTTCAGATAGAATTGATAGACACAGTTAAAACATTTAATGTGCATTTTTTCCATCTGCAGGACCACTGCTGGGACAGTAGAGTCAAAAATGTTTTGCATATCTGGTTTGACCACCAAAACTATATCAACTACTAGCTATCTGGCTTCAGTATCCACTGAACAGTTTGAGAGAGATTTTGTGTAAGAAAGTTATGAGGCGGGAAAATTCTTCGGAAGTTTTCTCAAAACTGTCTCAGTGAGAAAAAATGGGTGCTAGTGAAAGCATTCAAAAGTATATATAAAAATTGCGAATATAAAGCTGTTTTTTTACATTGAGTTTTCAGAACAATTGAGAGCAGCTTGATTGTTTTTAATCTGAAAACCATCGGAAGTAGAAATACGCAAGTGTGCCTAATTCCTAACTTCTGCTACATCCAAATGCTTCTGAAAGAACGCTTCTTAGAGAAATTGATTTAGATAAGGAAACCAAGTTGCAAATTGTGACAATTGAAAATTTTTGCGAGGTTTATTACGAGAAAAACTATAGTTCTACTTAATTTTCGAATTCAAAAAATTGAAACTCACCCGGACAAAATCTTTACTAATTGAAACTTTTCGTGTTAAGGTTCACATAATCAAGAGATCCTTTATCTGGTTCTGTTAAAGTATCAGTTTGTTGAGAAAGCTTTAGCAAGCTCCATATTATTTTCTCAAAATAATGAATTGTAGATCTTTAAAGCAAATTTTAGTCCCAATCAAAAAGATACTAGTCCCAATGATAATGAAATCTCAAAAATCACACAAGAATTGCTTGTGTTCAGATATAAATGATAGATACAGTTAAAACATTTAACGTGCAATTTGTACATCTTTAGGGAAACTTATGGGACTGTAGAGTCAAGAATATTAAAACGTTTCGTGAGAATGTTTTTTTTGGAAATATTCCTATTTCACAACTTTCTTGTAAAACATTTTCCTGCCTTATGAAATTTTTACAAAAAACTATCTTCTTATAAGCTTTTCAGAGCCAAACAGTGTAAGAAGTTATAAGATACCGACATTTTGTCAACCCGGGACACAATTTGAGATCAGGAAATGAATTTCAAAAATGAAACCAACAAAATCAAAAGTAATTGTAGTTACATTGGTTTTTCAGTGAGGTAAAATGCGGTTAAATTCTGTCTATACGATATTTAGATAAAAACGAAACATGTCGAGACTACTCGTTTGATTTTCCCTGCCTAAAGAAATTCATTAACCCTTCCACTGCAAATTGAAAAGGCTACTTACTTGTGCAAAGGGTAACTTCAGTTTCGTTACCCTCAACATATCCGGTATTCCCTGAAATTTTCACAAGGTATGTGGCACCAGGTTTCAATCCTTGCTCATTAAAAGCCTTTCCTATGAATTGAAAAGTAGAAGGATTCACACAAGCTGAGCTGTCTGATCTACAGGTGAGGTTGATCAGCTGCCGAAATGTGTCGTTTAATGCAGTGATGATACCATAGCCTTCAACTCCGTCAACTTCGTCTGAATTTGAAACAAAACCACTAATAGCCCGTATGAATTAAAAGCCCTTTTAATTTGACCACCCCGTATTTTGATTCAGGAAATTTTTTAATTCGCGACAGTCGGCAAATTTTGCAGTTTGTAATTTTTTTCAATTTTGAAAAATTTTTGACGCCCGCGCCTTTCATATACAACTTGACAAAAGTTGATACCTTTTGAAGGACCTTAACCATTCTGAAAAAACCAGAGTGATAAATTTTTTTCATTTCACCGAAAAATTTAGAAAATTGAATCTTTTTTTGAAACGAGTCTTTCATATTTATTCCTGGTACAAAATTGTCGAGTGCGTTTAGTCTTCCTTTTTTGAAACAACTTTCATGTAAAAAATTATATTAAAGAAATTCCAAAACCTTGAAATGAGCGGAGCAACTTGCAAAATAATAAGTGAAAGGTCAACACGCTCACTATAGCCTGAAATTAAAAACCTAATTTAGCTGGTTATTGTCTAATTAGCACACAAAAAGCCAAGCACAATTGTTTTTTACAAGACAAAATTAAAAGTTCAGGCAAAAACCAGCATTAAGAAAGTTTTAAAAGTTATTTGATTTGAAAAAACAACAGAATTTTAACAGAAGTTCTTTTGTATCTTAGTTGATAAAAAAGCTAAGAAATGAATTGAAATGCATTTTATACAGATCATGTCGCAAAAACTATAAATTGACTTTAATCCATTTTAAATCGATATACTTTGACATATACGTGAAGTTTTTAAACAAAAATTTCAATTTTTGTTGCTCGATTTGAAATACATTTTTGATCTCAATTTTTACGGACTTTATGTAAGCATGTAAATTGATTTAAATCAGTTAAAATGCAGTTTATCCAATTTTTTGTATAACTATTTTTTTGCAAGTTCTGTACAAATTATAAACAAGTTTTCTCGACTACGAAACAAAAGAAAAGAACTGGAAACAAAATTATGAGGTATGCTTTTCATTTGACTTTTTGTGTTGATGTTTGGCCTGAAAACAGAACTCCGAGTTTCACATATGTAATTTTGCTGCACAGAAACTGAGTTTTTATAAGTTTAGTGTTTCAAGTTTATGTCAAACTTAGAAGTTGTATGACTACCCGCAGTGACAACATTGAGATTGAAATATGTAAATTGATACGACTATGAAACAAAAGAATGACTGTGAAACAAAAGAAAAGAGCTGAAAACACAATTATGAGGTATAGTTTTCATTTGAATTTTTGTGTTGATGTTTGGCCTGAAAACAGAACTCCGAGTTCACAAAAATGTAAGTTTGCTGCACAGAAACTGAATTTTTATAAATTTAGTGTTTCAAGTTTATGCCAAATTTAGAGATTGTTTGACTACCCAGAGTGAAAATGACAACCTTGAGATTGAAATATGTGAATCGATACGAATGGATTAAAAGTTCAAGTTTTTAAGCTATAAATTGATTTTTTGATCTGAAAAACATCCATTTGATCCGTTCGTATCAATTTACATACTTTTATTCTCAAGTTTGTCACTATAGGTAGTCATGCAATTTCCAATTTTGAAAAATTTTTTGCCACAGTTAGATACAGTTCTCTAGAAGAAACAAATTATGAGAAAAACACATCTAGTTTTTTCCATTAATAGAGTATGACGCTTTTTTTCAATGATTGATTGTTACGACTAGCAGTTGTTCCTAAATGGATTGGGAAGACTAGCATTTTAATGGCTAAAATTAAAAATTAAACTTAAGACTTACGCTTTCTAAAACAATGTATACAATTATGCGCATAACTATAACAAAAAACTGTAATTTTTGGTATATGGCTAATTCTTGGGGGTGTAGCAATTATCATGTGTGCGATTAGCCTGCTATAACAATTCGTATGCAACAAAATAGGTGCGTATTATCCTGGGTTGACCTCCATACACCGAATATGCTTATCATACAATTCCATACATCAAGTGTGTGGAAAAATGCTTGTCATACAATTTTCATACAATTTCTAAAAATGGTTGAAAACTGGTATAGACTTATTTCTGTGGCTGTTTGATTTTAATAAAACAGTCTGGTGATAAAAAATTCTTTTTTTGTTTTTTTTTCAACTGCAAATCGAATTTTGTACGAAAACAAACATTTTTCGAAAAATTTTCTTTTGCATGCAAAATTTAATATTTGTGTGCATAACGTAGTCCTGATACGATAAAAATTGGCTTTTATTTTCTTTTCATTTTACTTTCAAAACGCTGAAAATTTCCATTTCTTTTGTATGGGGTGTTAATGTATGCCTTGATCAATGTCTGATAATTTGAAAATTCAAAAATTTAAAACGATCATCATTAAAAAATTTTGCCAAAAAATAAAAGTTTGTTACTTTTGTTATATTAATTGTGAAAGACAGCCAATTTCAGGTCATTTTCTATGCATTGTAATTGCAAGACCGTCCAACTTTTGGTGTTTTGATTAACCAAAGTCTTTGTCATTTGTGTTCGGTTGCAAACACAACCGAAAATTTTTCAGAAACTAAATTTAGGAAGAAAAATCAAAATTTTTAGTTTATGGAAAAACACCTATCATACAATTTTCATATATGGAAAAATGCTTATTATAGAGTTTTCATACAATTTTTTGTACGTATGGAATTATGAAATTGTATGACAAGAAGTTTCTCATATAAAGAAATTGTATGATAAGATGTTTTGGTCAACCCGGGATCATGCGATGACAATTAGCAAGCGATAACATGTGTGGCTATTAGCAAATAAGTGCACGCTGTTAAAAATTGCAAATTCGAGTAACCAAAAATTGAAATACTGAGTCTTCAAACTACATGCTTTTATATGGGCACGCTAATTGAAAGGTCGAATTTCCAAAGTTTCAGTGATCGCAAATTCGATGCTTGTCTTTGACATTTAAATTTAACGTAATGTAAAAATTAAAAAAATAGTTATGGGTTCAAAAAATAAACAAAATAGTTTGTGAGTTTTTGCGCGAACAATGTGTCAGGACTGAAAATACAGTTTTGCGTACAAATTATTTTTCGAAAAACTTGGAGAAGCAAGAAGCATAGACATGACTTTGCTACTATAAAAAAAACCAAAAATGCTTTAATTAGATTCGAAATCAAGAATATTATTAGCTTATTTTAGAACTTTCAAAAAAATATGATTGCTAGTTTTTGAAAATGCATTAAGAGATCGCCTACTTCTACGTTTTGTAAAATAAGAAAACGAAACTTTTCATTTATTTTGCACCAAAATTGCCCATGAAAAAAAATGCCAGTAAAATAAATGCAAAGTTTTGTGAATGGAATTAGTATGGTGATCATATCTGTTTTAGCGTTCATGTATGCAAATGTATTATTTTTACAAAGGTTATTCTGTGTAACGTATTTTCTAAGGTATGCAAACATTCGAAAAAGAAAAGTAGAGTCTAAAAAAATATTTACTCATATTACTCTGCGCTCTCAATTTGCTTTAGAAAAAAAATCCGACATTTCCACAACAGTTCTTGAATTGGCTACCAAAAACTTTTCAGAAAATCAAAATGGTATTTTGCGCATCTTGTTTATTGGGTATGTTTTCACGCCTACCTATGGTTAGCTCAGGGATAACTTCATAGGCGAAAATCTTGAAAAATTCGGCCGTCGTGTTTTGAGTCAGTTCAAAAGACACCGTCAGTCCAGAATCCGGGTCGGCCTCGACGCTGAAGTTTACAGGGTTCGGCACTAAAAATCATTTGCTAGTCAATTTCAATTTTTTCATTTGTAAAATATATTTTTTTGTTCTGATAGATCAAATAGAAGTTTTTTTTTCGAATTGGATTTTTGCCAAAGAATTGAGGATATTGACTTTCCTTGGTTGCGTTTTCAACACAGTCCTGCATTTCTAAATGTGGACTTTTATCTACGTACCAGTTATTGCGGTGGTGCTGACAACTTTATTGTTGATCGGGCGTTTCTGATCGTCAAGTCCAAATATTGTTACATTGTAACATGACCCTGCTTCCAAACCATTTAATGACGTGAATGATTCTTCCTGAATTGTGTAATTAACAAAAAAGTCTTCACTATCTGTATCCGGAAACTTTCTCTGGGCTTGGATGTTCCGAAAAACTGTCGTATTCTCCGATCGTCTATGTCTGTTGCGTTTTAAGACCTCATTGAAGGAATCCCAAGCCAGCTCAATCGAGGAAGACGTCGGCCAGTAAGCAAAAGCGTTGCGATCTTGGTCCGCTGAAGCAAGAAAAAGTACTGTTGTATCATAATGTTTGCTTTTCACCTCCTTTATTTGACATAAATTTCAATCCCAAGGTCGAGATTGTGCTTTACGTTCAAACTATTGCAAGCAAAGTTGACAATTTGCAAACCGCTGTTACCACAACTAAGCTTTTTTACGCTTTCACGGCGAATTGTTAAGGGTTCAGTGAGCGTAACGTGGTAGGAAAATGGTTTAAAAAAAGTGAAATTTTTTTGTGATTATCAATCAACTTTTCTTGTTTTTAGTGACAGTTTTGGGCGTGTTATCTTATTGGTAATCATCTATATTGTTTTTGGTAAAGAGTGTCAAGCCAATAAAGATTTGGTGAGTTTTTTACTGAAATTTTAGCATAAAAAACATTGTTTTGACATTTTTTTTTCGCCAGATTATAAAATTAAGGTAAACTTTAACAAATTTTGCGCTGAATTTCATTTATTCAGTAATCTTAATATCAGAATACATGCTGAAATTGAGATGCGTCCGCGGCAATCGCAACTCAAGAAAACTATAACCTACCGGTGAGATCGCCAAAAAATTATAATAATGACCGGCTGGCTTGTACGAATCCAAACATCCGGACATGAAATTTCTCGACCAAAAAGTCTTTACAGCAAGTAGATACAAGAAAAGTTCTCAAATTTGAATTTTTTGTTTCAAAAGTTAAGCTTCTGTTGGTTACAGTTACTTTTGCGTTTTCAGTTTGATTCCAGATTATAACAGTTTTTCTTAAAAACTGTTTTCGTTATAATGACTGCTTAACCTTTCTTTGAAATGATACTTTTTAGTTTTTGAAATACAAAACTATAGAGATGTTTTACCTTGTTGTGAGTTTTTCAATTTATTTGATCTATTTACCTTTGGCATTGATAAGATACCTGCCAACTATTTTATGTATTGACCATTTGTCGATCCTTTCATTGTTCGTAGCTGTCTCAGAACAAACATTTTATTTCACACTTAATCTTTCTCATTCTTTTAATTCTTTAGTTAAAGTATTAAAGTACATAACTTGTACATATTCAGGGTCAGTATTAGAACATTTTATTATTATGCAGTCAAATGAAGCGAATCTGCGCAGAATTCCTGCATTTTGGCAGAACCACACCATGGAGCCACTACAATCCTGGAACCACTGGAGCGACCAAATTTAATTGGCCATTATAGCGAAGGAAAATCTGGACATCAACAATTTGAGTGGACCAGAGGTACCAGAAAACCAGATTCCAATCCTTGAACAGCCTGCAGGAAGTGATTCGGAAAGGGAATAGGCCAGTTGGGAGGCAAGAAAAAGGACTACAATGAAGTCTTAGGAAGCCGCCAAAGAGAAGGGAATAAATGACAAAAGAAAAATATTCACAGGGCTGATAAGAGCAGCAGCCGACAAGAAGTTGGGATCCATCTGATTTCAAATTCATGGAACTGAAGGCAAAAGGGCATGCTCTCGGAAAAAACCTAGACTAAAAATTTTGTTTGTTTTTTCAAGAATTTTGGGACCTCTTGGACCTAGCTTTTAACAAATCTCCATACGTTACATTTGAGAGGTACACATTTTTAAATCGGAAAAAAGAGGCAGGGTACCTTTTGAACAGTTCTTAGGAGCACTGACGTACCTAGCTAGCACGTTTAAAATTAAAGAGTCCGACGAAGCAGAGTGGATCAGGGATGTATTTATCTGCAATATGAGGAATAGCGAGACCCAACGGGACAAGTTTCAAATCAATTAATATAAATAACCAAGTTAAAAAACGAACCAAGTCTTACAATTGAGAGACGCAGCACGTGTGTGAAACATGGAAATCCTTCTACAGAGGGACATCTAAATGTCTGTACAGCCAGATATATCATTTGTAAAAACTGTAATTAAAAAAGTCATTTCGCAAAATTATGTAAATCGAAGAAAAAAGACCAAGTGTACATATTGTAAATGACACTGTCCACACTGAAAATTGTAAATACATCCCATCGGAAGATTGCTGGAGCGAAAACCAAGAAACTTGTTGAGTAATTCACGCCTGGAACGAAAACGGTCCGACCGACAATGACAACTACTCAGTATTGAGCGTGAGGACAATTTACGACCAAAATGGATTGGAAATGAAGAAATTATTAAAAATAGGACTCGAGGGGGAAATGAATGCAAAGATGAACATACATGTACGTTCGGCCCGTCCAGTAAGTTTTTTGAAGCAGAATGTGTTACTTGAGTTAACACTGCGATATCCCAACATGAAGACACAACCTGTAGACAAACGTACGAAACACTTGTACTGCGGTTTCACAGACAGCTTAGTTTTTACTTTGAGAAAAATAGTAGTCCGAATTCAATCCAACGGGTGGATATGTGAAGAGACCTCTTTTTGTTAAGGGAGGACACAAAAGAAATATCCTGGGCAATGACAGCTTTCCAAAACTAGGAATCGAAGTGAAACAGAAGAAATTCAGTGCCGATCTGTACAGTAAGTGTCCCATCGGGGAAGAGTAAGTCGATTAATTTACAATTCTTGACAAATGAATTTTTTTTTTGAACTTTGAAAACCTGTTCAATAGAATTGGCATTAAACCAAACAATCGTAAACTTACACATTTTCATCCCCCTTTTAAATCGGTTCAAGCAAAAGGCAGAACGGTGCCATTAAATTTGTTATCCGGAGTAAATGAGGAGCTAGAAAGGATGGAAAATGAGGGCCATACTGAAAAAATCGAGAAATTCGACGAAGATTGCTTCATAAATTCAATCGTTATAACTGGAATTCAAGACGGTTCAATTAAAATCGCTTTTGATTCAAAACTACTGATTGGCAGATTCATTTAGTAATTTCGATATAATGAACCATTAAAGTCAACTCCAATTATGCAAAACGACAAGCAAAAAGATCAATTTTAGTAAAGTAGGAGGAGATACTACTGGTTTTTACAGATTTTACGGGATTTTACGGACTTGGCGATATGCCCAACTAGTTTCAAAGAGTCATGGACTCACTCTTAAAAGCAGTTCCATTCACAAATTGTTACATAGATGACATACTAGTGGCTTTTAAGGGAACTATTGAAGAACTCGAAGCAACCGTGCAAAGAATACTGGAAACCTTAGACAAAGACAACATAGTAAAATGGGGGGGGGGGGAATTACATTTTTTCCAAAAAGAGATAGACTGGCTTGGTTATAATATATCAGAAGCTGGAGGAAGACCTTTCATCGGAAAAACCGATGCAATAAAAAACCTCCCATTCACGAAAAATATCTGCGAACTTCGTTCATTCGTCGGTTCGATCAATCAAAATAATATATTCGTTCCAAACCTTTCCCTCTTCAGTTCTCCGTTACGTCCGTTACTTAATAAAAGGTCAGTGTACCAATGGGATATCAGTCATTCTACTGCATTCAGAAAACTTTGACATCAAAGAAAGAACAAGATTAAAAACAGATGCCTCTAATAACGGCCTAGGGGCCTCACTCGAACAGTTCCAAGGGGAAGAGTGGAAAACAATGCAATTGCCTTGAGCTTTTTAAAAGTTCACGATATAAAAACTCAACCTACGAACTAGAAATGTTGAGTGTAGTATGGGCATGTAAGCACTTTAGAAATTAATTACATGGCTCAGATGTTAAATTGTTACGGACCACAAGACGCTTTTTTACGCGCTTTCGGCGAACCACGGCAACAAAACAATGCACAGCAGATTAACCCGTTGGGTAAACAGACTTTTATCTTTCAGTTTTAAAAATGTACATCAACTGGGTAAAGATATGGAATTTACGGACCGTTTATCTAGATTACCCATAGGTAAAGCCTTACCCGCTTCCCACCACGATGAAGAATTTTTCGTGGCTTCTACTAACAAAAATCGTAGTTTATTAACGAATCTATCCAAGTTTATTTTTGTCAAAAGAGTTATATTAGATCGGCCGTCGGTCGCTGTAAATTCTTTTGTAAATACTCATCTCCCATCGGGAACGAGTAATTCAAGCTACGTGATTGGTCCAAAACGTACAGTTAGCTCTTCAGCTTCTCTTAAACTTAGAACTATTGCTGCTACCAATTCTTGTATTGCCAAGTCAATAAAAATTTGTTAATGTTCGCAAGTCAGGTCTGAAAATTGCTCATCAAATTGGTTTCCGATAGTTAACACCAATTCAGTTGTAAAACCATCTCATTTACAGATAAAGCCCTGCTTTATGTCATACAGCTTAACAAAAGTTTTACCTCAAAAAAAATAAGAACCGCGACTGTACCATCCTTTAATTTATCTGATTCTTTAGTCATTGTCCAAGAGGAACACAAAAACGCTTCAAAATTTAACGATAATCTATTCAATAACGATCATGCGGCCTTACAAAAACGATACAAAGCAAATTTTTCCTTACCTTTATCTCCGTTTACACCAGAAAACCATTGTTCCAAAAAATTTTCACAAATTACGACCAAGGACAACAAAGTTTCATGCGATCTAATCACAACTCTGAACATGGAACTCCCACAGGGAACTCATGGATCTTATATGAAAACCTTTGAGAAGGACCTGCAAACTAGAGACAAATAGCTCTTTCTGGACAGCAAGTTGTGGTGCCAGCAGCGGCCCGAGGGGCTTTCAGCTCTATGCTATGTAGCACGAGTCTCACCCAGGCCATTTTGGTATGAAATTTTTTGGCCAAAAATATCTGGTGGCCGCATATTTACAGATGAACATAGCACGATGGCTCTATGTAGCACATACCACCCGCGGTGCTTACCGGCTTTCGGTGTTTGAAGACCGGTAAGCACCTTAAAGTTTTGTAGAGATCAGATCACGTGAACAAACTTCCGGGCTTATCATTTGCCGATGAAGAGATAAGTTTAATCTTTGCACGCTTCTTGGAGATCGAAGAAATATATTCTTTTTTGCATAGACCGTTTTACCAAATTTCCGTCTGCAAAACTAATAAACAATACTTCGTCAAATTCAGTTATCTCCTTCTTGAATGAATATTGCCATCTTCACGGCTTTCCAAGAAAAATCAGAGTCGACTATGGGTCATGCTTTTTATCACACGATTTTAAATTCTTTAGGGAAAAGTTTAAATAGAAATTATTTAATGATTGTTTAGTAGGTGATTATAGAACACATTTACTTGTTGAGAGATTTGTATATAATGTCAAATTCAAACTCCTCGCCATGTCTTTCAAAATTAGAAATCAGCAAGTAATACCTAAGTTGACTCTCAATTATCCAATTGAAAAAAAACTAAATGGAACGTACGGATTTCCAAACATACGACCATCGGATGTACTCCGTTCGAAAAAGACTTCAACCACAACGCTAACACCAGATGAAAAAATTTGATCTCTATTGATAATCGTTAGGAGCCAGAAAAATTGATCATGTCGAACCTTTGGGCCAGGAGCTGGAAGTTACACGATGGGGCAGAAGACGGATACCAAGATGCAGAAATGGTTGCTTCATCAGAATGGGAAGCTAACCTTCCGCTGGTCAAGGTCTCTCTCTGAAACCGGACGACACCGATTCCTTTTAACCAACGCAGACGACTCTAACTCATAAAACTGAGCACTGTAGGCAATATTTTTTGCAAAAAAAGTCGAAAAAAATGGAAACCTATATTTTAATCCCGTCAAAGAGGCGATCGTTGGTTCATCGGATCGAACAGTTACTTTGGAAAATGGACCCAATCCACGTAAATCGGATCTAGCAGTCAAAGGAAAAATAATTCAGGGCCCTCTAAAATCCTTGTTAATCCACATTCAAGGGGTACTGGTAGCATAATCATAACAAGTTTAGCTGGAAAGAGAAAATTGTCGCCACCCAAGAAGACAATCCGGCAAGCTCTCGGAAGAGGACGACCTTTGGGAACCTGACGCCGACGCATGGAAAACGCAATCATCGACAGAAACTGTTGTCATTCCGGAAGCAATACCAAAATCGACTGTACAACTTCTTCCTCTTCTTCGCTAAATTTAAATTGTTGGGACGGCTTGATCGATGAGTGTTTCGAAGATGTTTCGACCAACAATGCCCCAATTAGCCATGAAACAGACAATAATGTTGATTTGAGTGTTACAGTTGAGCAAAAGATCCCACTCTCAGACAACGACGAGCGTAGCGAACTATCTGTCGCTGCCCACTCTAGCAGACTACCGGGACTATCAACATCTGCGTCAGAAATAGAACTAATAGTCCTGAACAACAAACCAGAGGAGACCCCCCTATCGTGACTCAGACGAGACCATCAGCCAGACCCAGAAGAAATTTGGGACCCCACAGTGTTACGTGGAACGTAAATACGTGGATAAAACGTGCGTTTCAGGGTCTGAAACGCACGTTTATGCATTTCACAGGTCTTCCCTCACCATATTTTGACAAATAATTTTTAAAAATGTTTTAGTGATTAAAATGATTTAAATTTTTTCCCGTTGGGGAATGTTGTGAGTTGCTCATTTTGTTTGATCTGTTGACCTTTGGTATTGATTAGATACATGCGAATTTTGTTACGTATCGACCATTGGTACCAGATAAATTGAAGGAAAACATAAAAAAAACTGTTTTCTTTTTTTTACTATACTATTTCCTAATGTTTTCAACCAGAAAAGGGCAGACGGAACATTCAGGGCTTTGAACTGATATACACGCAGTCTTGTTATATTCACATTTTGCTTATGTTTTTTAAAATTGTGTAAGAAAGAAAAAACGACAAATTGTAAAAATTTGGTTCTTTGCTTTAGGTGATGATGTAATTGATTAATGCAACCTTTTGATTGATGATCTACCACCGAAGTTGATTGATTGATGGTCTAATACCGAAGCAAAATACTACTTACAGCCTTCGAATATGACAAGAATTTTTTCGCCCAATCTTCCATAACTTTCAATCTGAACTTCAAAGTAGTACAACTTCCCAACAGTTAGTTCATTCAGCACATGCTCTAAAACAAATATGCAAAACACTAAACATTTTGAGTTTATATTTAAATTGTAAATTGATATGTATCAGCGAACTTAAATTATATTGGAAAATATGAACTTCACTGCAAAATTTTAAACTTTCAGACGAGAAAGATAGCTTTTAAATGCAGCAAACAGTTGATGCTATTGATCTTAATTTAATTGAAAAGCTGATAGACAAGTTTGTAGTTTCATTTTCGGGAATCAAAAATTTGAAAATTTCCAACAGAGAAATGAGAAGTATCGATTGATTTATGGACACAGAAAAAAAATTAAGTGTTTGTACTAAACATTCGCATTATTTTTAGCTTCAAAGAATTACATAACCTTTAAAAAGTATTTATTTTTTTGCTAGTTTTTTTTTAGTTTTTCGACCTTAGTATGGGGTAAATTCAGGCTCGTGTGAGAAAACTGGGTCCAAAATTTTATGCCTAGGAACTGTATAAAATCATCCCTTTTTAAAACCAATTTAATGCTTGAATGATGCAGATGGAAATAACAAGTTCACCTTTTTCAACAGTGGTTCCGATACGCTCCTGGTTCAAGAACAGTCTGAATCCCGTGTAGTAATTCGAGTTTGTACTCCAAGACAATTGAATCACTCTTGGAGAGAGTGTTTGAAACATGATGTCGTTAGCAAAACCAGGAATCGGCGACACTAAAACAAAGCCCGAACAAAGTGCTATCCTAACAAAACAAAACTAAAGAAGTTTCAATTTTTTTGTATAGTTGCGATCGAAGTCAGTTTGGAAAAGATACATGTTAATGTTGGGCGAAATGCTCAGCGCTAGTCGATCAAGGGAGGTTATCATGCAAGATCTTGCAAGATTCTTGCAAAAGAGGGTTATCTTGCAAGATCTTGCAAGATGGAGGTTATCTTGCAAGATCTTGCAAGATGGAGGTTATCTTGCAAGAATCTTGAAAGAGGGAGACTATCTTGCAAGAATCTTGCAAGATAACCATCCCAAAATTTCTGTCAAAAAACACAAAAAAAATAACAGAAATTAAGTGTTAGATCAAAAAAATTGATTCTAGAACGAGAATCCAAAACTTTTTCGAATTAATCTCAATTTTTTTTTTTCAAAATTGACAGTTTGAATCGTTAAAAATTGTGCAGACAGTGATGAATGATGAGCGTAAATTTTTATCAGTTTAATAGTTTCAAAAACACTAAGAGACCAAACTGTGTATTTTGTGAAATCTGAAAGGAACCCCCAAGAAAGACGGTCCTTTTATTCTTATATTGTTCGTTCATTCTTTTTATTCGATCCGACAAAATTTCAACATGTTTTGACATTTGTCTCTGGAAATTAGGAACATACAGACAAAAAATTGTGCGCCTAAAATTACACGCTTTGAAATGATTGTTTGCATTAAAGTTCCTTCACAAGCTTGACTATTTCAGCTCAAAACCTTCCATCAAAAATACTATCGTTAACAAGGATATTCAAATTTTTGAAGTCTTTATTAACGATGGATAAAAATCTCAACCATTCTTTCGTGATATTGAGGGTTTCACCAACTATAAAACTGAGACTTAGCAAGCTAAGGTCTGAAAAAGATTCAGATTGTGTAACGAGCCACCTAGACTTGTGGTTTTCTGAGGCAGAGAATCTCCCTCGCTATATAAGTTGCGATTTACGCTTGTTTTCTCTGCACTAGTAAAATTTAAACTCTTCTCGTAAAAATGCTTTTTATTGAGCCAAAGAAACGTGAATATAGCCGTGTATAAGTGTCTGTAGACCCATAGCTTTATATAATGTCAATCTTTTCGAGACTATTTTAACTTCGGTTGATTCTGTATGAATGTTAGTTTTCTCAATCTGGTTGACTTGATTCCAATCGTTTGGCTATTCATTTTCCGTCCAGTGGATCTTGATTTTTTTTACATCTAGAAAGTTCTGTTTGCTTCAAGACTGGGTGAATTGAAGAAAGACATGTGTAGTAACTCAATGAGAGTGACAATTTTTGAACTCATTAAGTCGTTTTTGTTAAAGTTTCGAGGAAATTTGACACACCCCAGCAAAAAAAACATGTCATTGCAATCAAAAATACGGTTACCGACATGATTCATTGCTTTTTCACTACAAATGCGAGCAGCGAAATTTCGTTTTCAAAAGGTTACATTTTGAGAAAGGTTACATTTACAAGAACTCAAAAGGTTACATTTTGTTTTTCCCTACTCAAAAAAATTTTTAGAGTTTTTTGGAAATGTATGGCCAAAAATGCTCAAATATATATAAAAATATTGTTATTTTTAAATATGAAGATAGATTTTAAAATTTCTCAAAATTCATCTTTCGTGTTCAAGAACAGCTTTTGATTTCAAAAAGTTGCGCGGTTCCAATAATCAGACAAAAACTTCAGAGTCGGCTGGCATCCCCCTTCACTTCAGGCAGCCATGTCAAACTACTCGGATATATTGAAGCGTCTAGTGAAGATTTCATGGAGAATCCATCAGCTCATCTCGATTAACGTGATTGTGTGAAAAAACTGAATAAAAAAAACCTAATTTTCATCTTGTGCTTAATATTTGCTTGTATTTATTTCTTTAAATTTATGTTCTCAATTGATGTACATTGTGTTTTTCCTATTTTGAAAGATTAATCAGCTCATCAGCTCATTTTGAAAGATTAATCAGTTTTTCCTATTTTGAGAATCCATCAGCTCATCTCGATTAACGTGATTGTGTGAAAAAACTGAATAAAAAAAACCTAATTTTCATCTTGTGCTTAATCTTTGCTTGTATTTATTTCTTTAAATTTATGTTCTCAATTGATGTACATTGTGTTTTTCCTATTTTGAAAGAATAATCAGCTCATTTTGAAAGAGTAATCAGTTTTTCCTATTTTGAGAATTCATCAGCTCATCTCGATTAACGTGATTGTGTGAAAAAACGGAATTAAAAAAACCTAATTTTCATCTTGTGCTTAATCTTTGCTTGTATTTATTTCTTTAAATTTATGTTCTCAATTGATGTACATTGTGTTTTTCCTATTTCGAAAGATTAAGGTATAAGTAGTCGATCAAAATTCGAAGATAGCCGCCTATTACAAAAAAGTTTCAAAAAAAAGAAGCTTTCTGGGGGCAACCAGAAATGTATTGTATGTATGCGTAGCTAAGACTGGTTCCTTCTTCCACGAACGCTACTTGGTTGTCTTTGCGTGTAAAGCTGTGATTGCCCAAAAAAACTATATCTTTAAAGATCTTGCAAAAAAAAGGTTATCTTTAAAGGAGGTTATCTTGCAACATCTTGCAAGAATCTTGCAAGATCTTTTAAAGAGATGCATCCTCTTTAAAAAAATCTTGCAAGATTCTTGCAAGATCTTGCAAAATAACCTCCCTTGATCGACTAGGGAGGCCCCATATCAACATGGATTTTTATTAATTGAGTGAGTTCAGTTTTGACTTTGATTTACTAAAACGTTTTATAGCGGCCTAGGAACAAAAATAATGCATCTTTTATCAATTAAGCTTAAAAATTGAACCTTCGCTGAAAATTAAATTATTGTTACTACCAATTGTTGCTTCATCACTTTTCTGTAAGCAAAAAAAGAACGAAATAAGTTAACTTAAAACAACTCATTAAATTATCAAACGGGTACACATCAATGATTGATACGAACACAGACACTAAAAAAAATAGTTGTTGTTTCTAGTATAAGGATCTTTCCAGGAAACCATTACTCGAGAAAGCCTTCTCATTTCTTGTTGATTTTTTTTTTGTATTCCAATAAAAATTCCACAATTTTTTTGTCCACACCAGTGGTCGGCTCAACGAAATGGAGTAGATACTCGAAACTTTACCAGAAAAACCACGATTTTACCACTGACTGTAATCCCTGTTCTGATTTGATCTGATTTGATATTAGGTAGCAAACTTTCCGCATTTCGTCGGTCCACAATCTCCATGTATCCTATCAATGGCTTGTAACTGGTTTCAACTTTCCAAAAAACCCAAAAAGGGTCGTTCGGGGCCCGTCCACGATGATTTTAGCCTTATGTGACAAGCAACTCTCGTAAGCCTAATTGGGTTTTTAAGTAAAAATTGGGCACAAATATCTAGCAAGGAGGTAAATGCGTTGACAATAGATATAGATGGTTCAGTTAATACAGTTTGGAGTTATACTTGCTTATTTGGTGTCTGGATTTTCCGTAAATAAAAGACGTGAATCGAAAAACATAAAGGAGTATTAGTATTTTCAAAAAAGCCTGTTTTTCTTATTGAAATTGTCAATTTTTACTGAAAACATTTTGTGTTTTGAAATATTCAAGAAAATCCATCTTTTTTTTATTCAGTCTGCTACGAAATATTTTGGCTTACTGAACACGAAGACTAAAAAATTACGAAAGTAACGGAAGTAACGTTACTGAACACGAAAGTAACGGAATATTTGTGCTCGGGTGGTTATATTTTCTTTAGACAAATTTTGACTTTTTAACTTGACTTTTTTGACATTTTTTTAAAATCAATAAAAAAGATTTTTGTTCTGAGCTTAATTGGGCAAACTTATTTCACCTGTGAATCTTTTTTGTAAAATTATGTGAGTCTGAAGTTTACTAGTTTGGCCAATTTCGAAACAATTAACGCGTAAACGGTTAGTCTAGGAGCGAAATCTTTCATTTTGTACTTTATAAGGCGTGTTGTGGAAGATTTTCACAAAAAATCTCACATAAAAAAACTTCTTTTCATTTTATTTTATCACAGTTAATTTTTTCATATTATTACTGTTCCATAGACCGTAAAAGGCAGTCGGAACATTCAGGGCTTTCCTCTGATACGAGCAGTCTTGTTTAGTAGGCATAAATCCTTATAGCATAAACTTTAACAGGCATAAATCGTTTTCGTCCGACCAAGGCAACTTTTCTTCCCTAAATTGCGTTTTTCTTCCCTAAACTACCTTCGCTAATTGTAGAAACTGTAGCCAATTAGAACTTTCTAGTTTTTGGAATTTTAATTCGGATTAGCTAAAAATTCGACTTATTTTGCAAGCTGAATCTACATAACAACCAGCCCCTTTTTTCTAATGGGGGGAGAGATTGTTCAGTTTTTCCACACCTCATTTTAACCTTGAGAATCACAGTTGGCTCATTCTCACACATGGAAACCAGGTTAAAAATTCTAAACCAAATTTGGAGCCGAGATAAAATTGCGTCAGAAAAGTGTCAAGACATGATAAATACTACATTTCAAATAATATGGTCTTGTGGTTTGCTCGTTTTCTGTAACTTCAAAACTTTTATCGAATCCAGCCCTAATCACAAAACCATACTTGTCGCAAAATTCTCATGCAGCTGAAACTGTTTGCAAAAATCTGACAATAGTCCGTGCGAAGCTGAGACGGAAGCGCTTGTTTTTTAATGGGTCTAATTGACCTAAAAGCACCGCTTTTAGCCGTTAACATTGCTCATGCTCACCGATACTGGCAAAACTTGGCATTAAGTAAACAAGACTGCTCGTATCAGGGCGAAGCCTTGAATGTTCCGACTGCCTTTTAAGGTTTATGGAGCAGCAGTAAAAAAAAAAATTAATTGAACTAAAATAAAATGAATTTTTTTTTTCTAAAATTTGAAATTTTTTTAATGAAAATCATCACCCCACACGCCATATAAAGTACAAAAGATAGATTTCGTTCCTTGTAACAAATCAATTATGGCAAATAAGCTTCCTTCAACTATTTTGGAACTACAGTGCTGATTTAAATTAACCGGACAAAACACGTTAAACTTAAAATTTGAAACGCATTCTTCTCAAATTGGGTTGAGTTTAGGTGAAAATTTATGAATACAAAACTTGGTTAGAATTTTAGCAGAATTAATATGGTGTAATTTGTTCTGCGAAATTCGGGTCCGAAATGTTACCCCAAAATTGGGTCATTTTGGTTTTTCTTAGTTAATCAAAAATTACGCCAAAAATACCCAGTCAATCACAGACATAATTATATCAAAGTGAGCCCCTTAGGTAGCTCAACAAATTTCAAGAAGGGTATTTTCTCTTCTTAAAATACCCTTCTTAAAATTTGTTGAGCTACGTAAGGGGCTCACTTTGATATAATTATGTCTGTGATCGACTGGATATTTTTGGCGTAACTTTTGATTAACTAAGAAAAGCCAAAATGACCCATTTCTGGGGTAACATTTCGGACCCGAATTTCGCAGAACAAATTACACCATATTATTTCTGCTAAAATTCTAACCAAGTTTTGTATTCATAAATTTTCACCTAAACTCAACCCAATTTGAGAAGAATGCGTTTCAAATTTTAAATTTAACGCGTTTTGTCCGGTTAATTTAAATCACCATTGTATTCTAATGACGGATTAAATCTCCTCTTACGCGTTAATAGCGAATCATATCGCTCGTTAATGGGCCCAAATTGGCCAAAATGCCAGTCTTTAAACCTAATAATTTTACTAAAAAAAGATCACAGGTGAAAAATGTTCTCAAAATTAGGCTCAAGACAACAATATCTTTTGAACGATATAAAAAATTTCGTCAAAATGGCTAGTTAAAAATTTGAATTGTGTTTGAAGAAAAAGAACCCACCCGAGCACAAATATTCCGTCATTTTCCTTACGAAAGTCGGAACAAAAAACGAACAACTGCTGAATTGCATTTTTCTTCCCTAAACTACCTTCGCTAATTGTAGAAACTGTTGCCAATTAGAACTTTCTAGTTTTTGGAATTTTAATTCGGATTACCTAAAAATTCGACTTATTTTGCAAGCTGAATCTACATAACAACCAGCCCCTTTTTTCTAATGGGGGGAGAGATTGTTCAGTTTTTCCACACCTCATTTTAACCTTGAGAATCACAGTTGGCTCATTCTCACACGTGGAAACCAGGTTAAAAATTCTAAACCAAATTTGGAGCCGAGATAAAATTGCGTCAGAAAAGTGTCAAGACATGATAAATACTACATTTCCAATAATATGGTCTTGTGGTTTGCTCGTTTTCTGTAACTTCAAAACTTTTATCGAATCCAGCCCTAATCACAAAACCATACTTGTCGCAAAATTCTCATGCAGCTGAAACTGTTTGCAAAAATCTGACAATAGTCCGTGCGAAGCTGAGACGGAAGCGCTTGTTTTTTAATGGGTCTAATTGACCTAAAAGCACCGCTTTTAGCCGTTAACATTGCTCATGCTCACCGATACTGGCAAAATTGGCATTAAGTAAACAAGACTGCTCGTATCAGGGCGAAGCCTTGAATGTTCCGACTGCCTTTTAAGGTTTATGGAGCAGCAGTAAAAAAAAATAAAAAATTAATTGAACTAAAATAAAATGAAATTTTTTTTCTAAAATTTGAAATTTTTTTAATGAAAATCATCACCCCACACGCCATATAAAGTACAAAAGATAGATTTCGTTCCTTGTAACAAATCAATTATGGCAAATAAGCTTCCTTCAACTGTTTTGGAACTACAGTGCTGATTTAAATTAACCGGACAAAACACGTTAAACTTAAAATTTGAAACGCATTCTTCTCAAATTGGGTTGAGTTTAGGTGAAAATTTATGAATACAAAACTTGGTTAGAATTTTAGCAGAATTAATATGGTATAAATTGTTTTGCGAAATTCGGGTCCGAAATGTTACCCCAAAATTGGGTCATTTTGGTTTTTCTTAGTTAATCAAAAATTACGCCAAAAATACCCAGTCAATCACAGACATAATTATATCAAAGTGAGCCCCTTAGGTAGCTCAACAAATTTCAAGAAGGGTATTTTCTCTTCTTAAAATTTGTCTTCTTAAAATTTTCTCTTCTTAAAATACCCTTCTTAAAATTTGTTGAGCTACGTAAGGGGCTCACTTTGATATAATTATGTCTGTGATCGACTGGATATTTTTGGCGTAACTTTTGATTAACTAAGAAAAGCCAAAATGACCCATTTCTGGGGTAACATTTCGGACCCGAATTTCGCAGAACAAATTACACCATATTATTTCTGCTAAAATTCTAACCAAGTTTTGTATTCATAAATTTTCACCTAAACTCAACCCAATTTGAGAAGAATGCGTTTCAAATTTTAAATTTGACGCGTTTTGTCCGGTTAATTTAAATCACCATTGTATTCTAATGACGGATTAAATCTCCTCTTACGCGTTAATAGCGAATCATATCGCTCGTTAATTGGCCCAAATTGGCCAAAATGCCAGTCTTTAAACCTAATAATTTTACTAAAAAAAGATCACAGGTGAAAAATGTTCTCAAAATTAGGCTCAAGACAACAATATCTTTTGAACGATATAAAAAATTTCGTCAAAATGGCTAGTTAAAAATTTGAATTGTGTTTGAAGAAAAAGAACCCACCCGAGCACAAATATTCCGTCACTTTCCTTACGAAAGTCGGAACAAAAACGAACAACTGCTGAATTGTTCGTCTGTACTATAAATTGACGTGAATAGTTTTTCGTTAGAAAATGATAAATTTTAATTGTGCCCTCAATTGAAATGGAACGATATCTGTGCCAGGCTAAAATGAGGCTTACGCTAAGCGTTTTTAGATAACTGATAAATAGCTTGCTTTATCGGCCATCTCAAATTGCTGCTATCAATCAAGTCGCTTCAAATGGCCACCAGACGCTCAGGTGCTTAATAATTATATCATAATTTCTAAACTTTCAGCTCAACTTCCAACAACATTATTGTCAAATCGTTTATACATCAGTGCCAAATTTTTGCAAAAGTTCGCATGAAATGAAGGAACATTACGAAGCCAAAAGGTGCACTGGATAGGCGCACAATTTTTTGTTTTTTCTTCCTGAATTCCAGAGACATATCAAAATTTTGTCGAAACGTTCAAAGATAATGAAAGAACAAAAAAGAAGAAAGGGAGCTTCCTTGTAGCGGAATCCGCTTACAATTCAAAAAATACACAGTTTCGCCTCGTAATGAAAAACAGAGTTTTTCAGCGGCTAAAAAGAGCAGGTTTCCTAGCGTTTTTTGAAATTTTTATAATTGAAACTAGTCGTTTGTTGTTACCAAAACGTACAGTCTGAACTAACTATAGTCAAAAACTTTTTTCCAGCCAATTCCAGCTACCTTAGGAGTACCCGTGAAGTGTCGAATGTAAATCATGTATCTGGCAGCGCAGTTCCTAATTTTTTGATCTAGTTCCTGCAAACCTTAATTCTGCTCCTCCGACAGCGCATGAAAATTTGACAATGTTTTTGAAAGAAAAAATCATAAAAATTTTAATTGCGAAGAAAAACACTGCGGTTATAAAAACGTCTTCTATTTGAACAACGAAAACTTACAATTGTTTTTTTTTTCACAAAATTTTTTTGTACACAACGTATCTGACAGGTTCCTTCATGCAAGTTTATTCGAGATTTTATCTACAATCCTGAAACAATCCTTGTTTCTGACAATATCAATCTTTTTGTGTTCATCAAAGCAATATCATTGTCTGTTTCTGCATTTGCACAATTAAAAAAAATATATATTTTTGAATCTTACTTCAGAAAAAATTTCATTAGAAACAAGTACAGAAACAGCTGGCATAATTTCTCAGTTTTGAAAAAATTTTTGCTTCGAATATCAGGAAAGTTTTTACATAGAAGAAGAGCAAAACAGCAGAGCTACCATCTCTGAAACTATCAATAATCACCGATTGAGTCCGGTTTCAAAGACTTACCAATGTTACTCGGGTCTGAAAAAGCCAGACTTCTTCATATGCACTAAGTGTTTCGATCCTCGTGAAAAACTAGGAAACTATCAAGTTCAATAAAAGCTTCACAACGATAACACTAGTTGACAAAATTAAGCTCAAATTCCAGATTTTTCTTTGTAAAATGCCTGTTTTCAATGTAAATTTTGGAAATTTTCTTCGAAACTCAGAAGAATTTTTACATAAACTAAAAGCAAATGATCAGAGCTACCATTAGTGAAAGTATCAGTATTTGGTTTCAATGACTTACCAATGTAATTCGAGTCTGAAATGCCAGTTTTCCTCATATGCACTAAGTTATTGTCTTCGCGTGAATAAGTAACAAAAGTCTGAGTTAAGTATGAACAAATTTTTTCACACTGAGTGTTTCAATGTTCTCGCTGAGAATGTTTCACATTGGATGAACAAATTTTTTACTCCGCTTATTCAAGAAAGTGATCACTACAACGCAAAAGATAGTGCAGATGAGAACAATCTGGCTTTTTCAGACCCGTATTACATTGGTATGTCATTGAAATGGAAAATTGACAGTTCAAAGAGAGTAGCTCTGATGATTTGCTCTCGGTCTTTGTAAAAATTTTAATGAAGGAGCTGTTGTCCAAAGTGGACAATGAAACAAGACATTTTAGAAAGAAAAAACCTGAATTTGCGTTTAATTTTGTCCACTAGTGTAGCTCATAACCTCAATTGGTTTCGCGTTCTTTTGATTGCATTACAAACTAGTGAACAAATTGCATCATTGAGTTCAAAACGATTTGTTTAAATAAATATAGGAAATGTGAACAAAATTAACGAACAAAACTTGCGCGTGGATGACAAATGACCAAAATTAAAAGCGTAAAAAAGATAATACTGTGAGCCGCTTCAATGCAAGGAAAGTTTTGAAAATCTGTGCAAATTTTGTGAATTTTGTGTTTTCATCACCAACGCATTAATTTTTTATCATACAAAAACTCAGAACGTAACTGAAGTTTGTTTTGTTTGAGTTTTAATTTTTCAATTGAAACAATTTTTTTATTGATAAAAAATTATGTCTAATAAAAAATTTTCCATACACCAATTATGAAATTTAATTATGTATGATAAAACAAATTTTCCATACACCAATTATGAAATTTACGATAGTTAGTTTTCTTGCATGGACGCCAACTCGGGTAGTTTTTCTCAAATCAAAACTGTTTTTCGAAAACGTAATCTTTGTGACTACCTCGTCGAAAAATCGAATTATACATGTTCGAAGCAGTATTTATGGTCTTAATTTAGTTTGGTTACTTCTTATGGTACCAAATGTGGTTTGAAGGCTAGTCAAAAAATTTTTTTGAATTTTTACTTTCCTTTGTTTCTAAAATTTTCGCCAAAATGCTGTTCGAAAAAAGTTAATGAAATCAAAGAAACAGAAAAAAAAACTCTGAGCTCTTATGCATCAAATAGAAAATAAATCAATTTACGATTTGTTGAACTTCAAAATTTTTTATTGATTGACACCGACTCCTGTTTGATGAATAAACTCTTTTTAGGAAAACTTGACCCGAAAGTGTTTTTTACGATTGATTTGGTAAATTGATTGGTAAAAGAAAAACATTTTGAACATTTTGCGCGTAAAAGCAACAATAAAATTTTTGTATGAAAAAAATACAAACTATAATTTCTTTCATTTAAATTGAATTAGTTTTTTTGGTTGTTTTTATTCAAGATCTAACAAATTAGACAAAAATGACAGATCAAAAGATTTGAACTTTGTGGTATTGTGGCGCATCGGTAGTGATAGTGCCCAGCCAATATATGATTGCGGGTTCAAATCTCATGTGCGGTGAAATGTACAATGTGAGCTCATAGCTGAGTTAATCTTAAATAAAAACTTCGGGCTAGGCCTCTGGTTGATCAACTACTCAAATAGAACTAAACCTCATTTTTAAAATTTTTGGTAGTTTTTATTTTTTACACTGATTTAAACTCGATACTGCACAGTTTTTGTTATGTTTTTTTGTTTTTGTTGTCAACGTAGTAATTGTTTTTGTTGGTTGTTTTTTTTTTAATAAGTTTTTTGTTATTTTGATTGTGCTCTGCTCTCAATTTTCATTACTGATAGTTTTTGTTTTTTTCCACTTTTTTAATTTCGATACCGCAACTTTTGTTTCTAACAACTCGTTGATTTTTACTTACAGCAGAACTTGGACTTTTGACTGCAGTCGATCTCTTGGCCTCGTGAGTTCTTGCACCAAAGAGTGCCCCCCTCGACGCCCTCTCGTTGCTGACATTTTGAGTAACTCACTCCCTCGTGCACAAAAGGGAACAAACAGACGTCATCGAGCTCATTGTTCGGACAAACGTCACATATTTCTTAAAAGAAAAAGTCGATAAAACGCAAAAACATTTTTTTTCAATTAAAAGTTTCAGATTCAAAAATAATATGGGTAATAGTTAAACAAAAAAAATTGGGTGATTGTTTTTAAAATACATACCATGAGCTGCAGGAAATTCACCTGAAGCAAAAATGATTTCATTTAACATTTATTAGAAAAAAAAAGAATATAGCATTTTTTTTATTGAGAAAATAGAACAAAACTCACGATAAATGCCCGCGACAGAAGTTGTATCTTGCCCTTAAACAGAGGAATTAGTTCATGAACTGTCCTAGAAACTGCTAAAAACATTTGACGGTTAAAACCGGGATTATTGCTCGGGAATATTGCTATAAATGTACTAAATTCGTTTAAGCTGTATTAGATTTTCATGGAAATGATTTTTTTAGCAATTGAAGTAACCAAGTCCGGTGGAGGCTGAATAACTAACAAAACTCTAAAATACTTACAATTTCGGATGTAAAACGTAGTCGGGCTGCCCAAAAAACTTCCTCTTCGTGGCAAAATTGAAACTTCGAAGGTCGAACACAAATCCAAATCGTCAAGAATTACACCAAGATCTTAACAAAGCAGTTGATTTGCGGGGAAGATTGTTCACTTGGTCCATAAATATTTATTTTGAGTAGCAACTCGGTGAAATAAAGGATTTTAAAGAAGCTATCATATAATAATATCAAAGGGCATACATTTACATTTTAAGATCTCGTAAAAGATTGAAAGCCTGATTTAAAAAACTAAGTTCAGTTCAGAGTCGGATCATTTTAAACTTATTGAATTTCGGAATGCAGTCTGTAAGGAGACAACCGCGTGTTAATACTCGTCAGAAAATAGGGAAATACTATATTTACCAACGAAAACTGAGAAGAACGCAAACTTACGAAATAATTAAATGATAATTGTTCATCATCTAAGTTTGCTTCTGTTCTTGTTCTGGTTGTTAGTATAGTATTTCGGTTAATTCCCATTGGTTCCAATATTCATAGGTTCCAAAAAAAAATCAGTCGCATAAGTTCCAAAATTTATTTTCTTGAATTCTGATTGGTTGAAATTTAAGGCAACGAATTTATGGATTGATTGTTACTGTTCAAGCAGCATAAACTCAAATGCAGAATAGTGACCGCCGCAGGGTAGGACACTATACGAATAGAGGGTAGGACTCTATACGTATACCCTCGTATAGAGGGTAGGACTCTATACGAAATTTAGAGCCGGTTATCCCCGCAAAACGGCGACGCGCGCGTAGCGCGCCCACCGGCGACCTTAAACCGAAACAGGCTAATTTAGTCTTTTGACCAAATGAAAAGATTTGGAAATTATGCGACTGCTTTTTTACTTTGGAACCTATGGCACTGATTTTTTATTTTGGAACCTATGAATACGCACCAGTATTTCCAGCACCAAAGTTTCTCAAGCTATCATATAATAACTGGCAATAATAATCGGGGGCTATTCTCATGCGCGAAGGACCGAATGCGCGAAAAAGACCGAAAACAAAATTAGCCGAAAGTCAATTTTTAAAAAGAAGCAATTGCAATTCAATTAAAATGAATTAAATGAAGCTATATTTTCAATCTTTCTTAACGAAACCCTTGAAATACAAAATGTGTTTTAATCCGACGGCGGTCAGTGACAATTTGAAAATTTGGCATATTTCTGCCGCTTTTATATTCGGCCAATATCAATATTCAGCCCCTGGAAGTGTTTACGTTCTTTCCAAATTTTAGATTACTGAAATTTGATTGGCTGATTTTTCTTTTCGCGCATTCGGCCCTTCGCGTATGAGATATTCCACCATACTAATCTATTATAATGGCTTTTCATTGCATGTCTCTCTAAAATTTGAAAATAGTCGATTATAACCGATTAAATTCGATGTTTATGTTACTATTTTTAACAATTAACTCCATTCTAATCTCTTATAATCAATTTTAATGAATTTTTATCCGTTTTTTTCTAAAAGTGGTCAGTTTTGTTTAAGAACTGCTCAGTAAATTCAAAACTTGAGCCTTGCTTTCTCAAAACAGAAGTTAGTTTGGTTAGAAAAATACTATCATAATTTTTCATTTTTGATTTGTAATTAATTCGTGGTCGTAATGTACCCTTTTGGTTAATTTTTTCAAATTGAATTCCTTTTTTAATGCTTCGACGCGTTGTTTTAATTTATTTTGGATCCAAAAACTTCAGGAGCTTTAAATAAGGTTTTAGCAAAAAAATGATTCTCATGAAAATATTTAGAGCGAAAAATGTTCAATCGAAAAATTCCTTTTCTTGCTAATATAATAGAAAAGAGTGCTCAAATTGGCGATACACTATGGACTATAATGGCAACATTTTTGGCAAGTTTTTCTCAGTATTAACTCTTTTTATCCGAGAGTTTTTGTAGCAGGTTGCCAACTTACTGAAGAGCATGAATACGCGGTTGTCTACTTATTGCTACGTATCCTGAAATTTTGTTTAGCAATCTGCAAACTTTTTTTCGCTCAAGTTCGAATTTCTTGTTTCAGACTTTTAACTTAGTAGTTTTAAGTATAAAGGACTTATAATTTATCTAAGGAAATAGAGATGATCATTTAACAACGAAAGTTTTTTGTCCTTCAACTTTCAATTTTTTACTCATTGATTTTTTCTTCATATAAATTAGCAGCCTCTTTTTTACTGAGACATTCAAATGTAATGAAAAGTGATGAAAAAATGCAATTATATATGAAAATTGTTCGAACAGCATTTTTTCAAGGAAACATCTATGAAATTGTTTTATAAGCCTTCTTGTTGTACGGAGATCAATCCTATTGGTTGTTTTTTGGTCCGATTTTTGATTAAATAAAAATGTGAATTTTCTTAGTGTCTTTACACGTGCTTGAATGAGTTTTAAGGCAATGAAAAATGCTTAAAACAAACAAAACAAATCTCAATACTTGTAAAAGTGATTTAGTTAAAAGGGATAAACACTTGATACTGAACACAAAAATA